TTTATAAAGCAAATTCTGTTTTGGAACCCTTTCTACCTGGTGTTTTAAAAGGAGTCTTTGGGAGCAGTATCAGACAAATGGCAGTACAAAATCACTGCTGTGTAGTCCCATATTTTCTTTGAAATGTGAGAACATTAAAGATATGTGTGAAGCAATTGCCTCCCACATTTCGGGTCTTCAGATGAAAACTGCGCATAGGGAACATACTGCGTACCAGACTCTCTGCAGAAGGGGTTCATTAAATATTTTTTTTAATCCTGAAATATATTCACTATTTGAATACTTCTAGACAGAAACATGACAAAAACGACAGATTGGTCACCATCTGAACCAGCATATTGTGTAGATGTTTTTGCGTTGGTGAAAGTCTACTCATTTTCTCTCTGCTCCAAAGTTTACTATGCAGTGTTGAATGGGTGCAAACACCAAATGTACCTTAGTCACTTATGTGTTGTTTGTACTGTACTCATTCAAACCAGCAGGGTGAATTTCATAAATGAGACAACTAAAGGTGGTTTATCCTGTGTCTCACATTTATGCTGACATGGCATTTTTCATTTTCTCCAAATCCTAGAAGGTGCTGAAAGGTTTTAACTTGAATTAAAACCAAAGAGTATGCTATGGGGAGGTTACTATTATGCAACTAACTGCTACAGATTCAGTGAAATGCCACTTGTTTTTGCAACTTTTTTGAAGTTTTCATTATTTCCTTCACTTTTCTTCCAAGAGTCTTGACTTCAGAAAAAACTTTGCATCTTTATCTGATGAGTTCTTATTTATAATATTCAGACACTAGCTTTGTATTCCTTATTGCACTTTCATATTCTTGTTACATGCCCGTATTATGGTTGCAAGTTTATGTGAAAATGACTTGAATAAAGTTTTTCAAGTGTTCTACTTGTCTGAGTACTTAATGCAGGAAATCATCATAGGCCATATCTAATGAGAAAGCCTCAGTCAAAGGTGTGTGTGTGCATGAACAAGAAAATGGGAAAGGTGCTGTTGCCTGGAAAAAACAAGAAAAGAAAAGATGCAATGATGATGACTACCTCTTGTACTACACAAAAGCTTGATAAGTGAAGGCACAACAGCATAAGATATGGCTTGTTTGGACACAGCCCTTGTTGATAAAGTTTCCCTTTACCAACTCAGCTGTCTCTGTAGGAACAGCAGCTCAGAAACCACTGTAAGAATTTCTGCATTAAAAACTTTACTCATATGAAAAAAATGTTTGAGCAGTCTGTAGTAGATGGTCAATGCAATGCAAAACAATTAACGCACTGAACACTCACTTACTCCAAAAACATTTAATCCCTTATTTACATTTTTGAATACAGATCAACATCCTGCTGCCTCTGCAATCTGTGTGCTAAACTGGTGAAATATGCTGAATTATGAAACATCTCTGCTCCCTTCACTGAGGGATTAATGCAGAATATGGTTAAAAACGTTGAAATGTTCTAACTTTCTTGACTTTGGGCAAATGCAGACAAAAATGATGTCATACGCTATGCAGTTCATAAAGTAAATGTAGAATTATTTGAGATAGACATGTGGTGGTGTTTCTAAAATTTAACGAAATGATTACAGTTAGAGCTAAGAGCTTCAAACTAGGAATTCCTGCAAGCACTACCCATGGAGTGTAGAACTCAGTGGATCTGACTCCATGTGAAAAGGCAGTCAGAGCAATGACACATCCAATTGCTGTGGCAGTCTTTTAGAAAAATACTGACAAATCTGAGCTTGTTTGACATGAAAACACCGTGCACCTAAAAGCACTCTGCGAGTGTTTGACACAGGGTGAGAACATCTCTGCTGTAGTACAGTAATGGAGTGGAAAGCTTGATTCTCCAGGATTCTTAATCTTACAATCACAGAGTGAATTATCTTCCCATATCACTAGAAAAATAAATCGGTCATACTTCGAGAGAGGTCGCAGCCTAAACGATGTCACAAACCAGGTTAGCATCATGTACATATGGAAAATATTGCCACCGTGAAGAAAAAATGTTTTGAACTTTTATCAACAAGTTCCAGTTGAGTTTATCAGCTCACAAAAAATCACCCACCTGTATATAATAAATATTATCAAGTCTCAGCCATCAGCACTCATTTGTACACTGCTCAGCACATTAAGGCTGTGATCCAGGTGAGTCACCAAGCACCAGCTACAAGTAGTAATGGCCTATTAAAATCTGAAGCAATGCCAACAACCTAATCTCCCTCCTCTCATTCATGTTCAACTTATCTTTTTTCATTTTTTTTTTTAAATAGGAGCTCAGAAGTTCAGTCATGTTTCTGAAGAGGAAAAAAAGATGTTTTGATAAACTAGGTTTCCTTCAGGAAGAATTCTATGGGCACAAATTACAGCTGCAAGAATGTAGTAAGAAATCTGCTCAAATGCCAAGACAAACTAATGCTCTTAGATCTCCTAGCACATGCAGAAAAGCACTTTAGAACATACGCAAAAAGACATTGTGTTTCAAACTATTTGCACTCCTTAACTTTTTAGTTTTTAGAGTGAATCAACTCTTAAAATATGATGCTCATCTACTCAAGGACAGATCAACCATCCATTAAAAAGTATTAAAAAGTATATTAGAACCGATGACAGCAAACAAAAGAAATTCTTCTGGCCCTTCACTGGAACCAGAGAAGTCACATGTCAAACTTTTGTTTGGAATAGCATTTGACTAGGATTACTTATTCATTTATTTATCTTAGGCATTAAGGATCAGCATTTCCATCTGGAAAACTGGAGGAGTTTGCATGTGGCATGACTTTTTCTACAAAAGATTATCCTTCCCTACAAAAGAACAATAAAAATGCTTTCTCATTTTCACGTTTTATTGTGATGCTTCTAGCTTTAGATTTGATGTCATTCAAGATGGAACATTAAAAATAACAGCAACAAAAAGCACTAGCAGATGGAAGGATATATGAATTTCCTGTTCTTCTCAGCATCAGTGCAATTCAGGAAGATAATACCACACTTACAGACATTTGGCCTGAGGGGCAAAGTCATACGTGGATAATAATAATCCAAGGAACCACTGTAATATTTAGCTTACAATAACTGAACACAGTAAGAGGATGGGCAGAAATACTGGGATATAAGTATTAAGATACAAAGTCTACTGGAGGGAGGGAGGAAGGGAGACAGAGTGGTGGTCACACTGTGTTAAAAAAAAACCTAACCTTGTTCCTCCCATTTGGCTGTAACATCATGGTAAATAGAATATACACAGAATTACACAGCGACTGCATTTTTACATGCTTCCAGTAACTGCTTTAACCAACAGATGGTAGTCACTAAGTCTCTGCTTGACTCATTCCTCTGAGTATTACAAAATCACAAGGAATTGATGAGGTTGGCATGCTCCTCTAGAGGTCATCAGGCTCAACCCTTCTATTCAAGCAGGGTCACCTACAGCTGCTTGCACAGGACCATGTCCAGATGGCTTCTAAGTACCTCTGAGGATGGAGACTCCACATCTTCTCTGGATAACTTGTGCCAGCACCGGACCTCTTACAGTGACAAAGTTGTTTCTTTTGAACTGAGAAAAGTCTGTCTTGATCTTCTTCCCCTCCCAGTAATTACAAACACTGGTAAGATCCTCCAAGCCTTCTACAGACTGAACTGTCCTAGCTCTCAGCCACTCCCTGTACGTCAGATACTCTCTTTCCTCTATCATCTTGGAGACTCTCTGCTGGACTTTCTCCATTGTGTCCACATCTTTTGTACTGCAAAGTCCACAACTTCCAGGGACTAGGATAGATAAAGGCTCACCTGTGCTGAACAGAGAAGAAAGATCACTTCTCTAAACTTGCTGCTCCTCTTAAAAGGAGTTGGACATCTCTACTATTAGGATGAATTGCTGGCTCGTGGTCTGCTGGTATTCACCAGAAACCCAAGTTCTTTCCTGCAAGCAGCTTTCCATCCCATTTGCATCCAGCACAGACTACTGTACAGTGTTACTGCTCTCCAGAGGCAGCGCTTTCCATTTTCCTTAACTAAGCTTCACAAAGTTTAAACTTTCCCTCTGACCACTTCTCTAGCCTGTCCATGTCCGTCTGAATGGCAGCACAACCATCTGGATTATAAGCCATTCCTGCCAGTTGTGTATATGCACTCTGTCCTGTGATCCAGTTCATTAATGGAGATGTTAAATACTACTAAGCTCAGTACTGAACCACTAGTTACCTCTCTTCAGTTATGTTGGCTATGTGCTATTCAAAACCTTTGGAGCTCAGCAGGTCAGCAAGTTTCTGGTTCACCTCATTATCAATTTATGTAGTCCATATTGATGCAGTTTGTCTATAAGGATATCATGGGAAAGAACAACAAAAGCCTTATTAAAGTTGAGATAAACAACATCCACTGCTCTCCCCAACATCTCCTTCCCTATCCAAAGTGACATTCAAAGGGTTAAAAAAATTCTTTTCTCACCATTATAAGCACTTAAACATATCAGGTTGCAGCTTAACATGTAGGAAAACAGATTGCTTTTTCACAGAGTTCAATACATAGGACAGACTTCTCCAAGAGATGAGAGGTTACACAAGTTGTAACGGATTTTACAGTAGACAAATCTGCGGAAGAGATATCTATTGAGGATTATTAAACACAGTAAACTACCACATCACAATAAGTCCCTGAGCTACAACACCAGAAGACAGGAGAATCTTAGAATGATGTACCACTGCCTGCTTCCACTAAACCTATACATACAGCATCCCTCTTTTTGACTTGTTTCAATTAAGCTGCAGAAAACATCCCTGAAGAAACATTCTAAATAACTAAAGATTTTTGTCCAACAGCATCTTTTTATATACATTATATTTGTTTAACTATCAACAACATCTAATAAGAAAGATGATTTCTAACTGTACAAGTGCAAGAAACGCAGACCACTCAGATACAATCTCCAGGGCAGGAGTATTAAAGACACTCAGTATCTCAAAGCAGCAGTATAACCCAAGAACAACAAAGACCACAATTTAACAGGCCAGTATTTTATTGCTACCCAGAACATGTGCATTACTAATTGGCTTTCATACCTAACTGACACATTCATGAATTTGTAAAGTCTGTTCAAGTTTAAGAGATTTCTTTTCCTCATCAAAGATGTTATTTGATAATACAGACCTAGGATTATCACTTCAGTAGTGGTATTCTTACCTATAACTTTAGATCCAGTCCTTAAGTACATTAAAAGTACATTTTTACAAAAATAAAACTTCAGAGAATCTGTATTACTCCTACATGGTACAGATGATGTTCTTAAAATCCATTCAGTCATGGTGGGGCGTATTCTGTAAACAGTGGCATTATGGAATTGGAATTATCAAGACACCCAAACATGGATTAATGGGCATAAATTCTTGAGAAATGTAAAATATTATTTAAGTGAAGATTTCTACATTGTTTTCTGTCTACACTACCAAGAATTGTTCAAATTCCAGTTTTCACCACTGACAAAAACACTGTAAGATGCAAATTTATAATAATCATATTTTACAATCAATTTATATACAATCTAGTCTTCAAATTTAATCTTTTTGCCCTGGAATGCTGTAATTTGTGACATTTGTTCCCGACGTCTCCTGCTTGCTTCCCATGAAGGATGAAGAGGCTGCTCCAAACGTGGATTCTTACCATCATGTTTAAGAATGGAGGTTTTTGCAAATGATTGTTTTTTGGGCTGTGGTTCCTTTTTAAGAAGAGCTGTGTAAGAAGCATAGCATGAAACTTTAAGTACATCATGAACCTTCATAAAAATATGCTAAAACAACCTCAAATTTGTAGACATTTTCAGTAACCTATTAATTAGCCATGGAGTACATATTCATTTGAATGTTCACAGTAAGATTTTCTCACCTTCCAGCCCCATCAGTTGTCACTTGGTAAGCTACAGTACAGTTTAAGATTTATTATGATAGATCATTTTGAAAATATATGCAGACATATATTCATCATAGACTTAACTTTTTTCTTCACAGTAAGTCAGTCAGGAACTATGCAACTTAATTCATTATTATTGAAAAGACCCCCATGACTTAACAAATTCCTGTGTGGAATCAGATACCATATACTACCACAGCTGATGGTGGTGACTATGTTGAAAGAATTTTTGTAGCTGAGAATTTGCTCTATTAAATAGTCTCATTATGCTTTTTCTATCTGTGGTAATTTCCATGGAAATAAATAAGAGACATGACTTCCAGAGCAACATACATACAAAAAAATACAGAGAAATTAAAAATACTACTCACAAGATATACTATGTGTTAAATACAGTAATCTGTTTACGCTTACCTGTGCACAGATAACATCAACTGCTCAAGGTAAACACAAACAGAAAAGCATTTTCCTGTATGCATCTGTCTTTATCCATTAATGTGCAAAAATAAGAAATAGCAAGCAAAATCCACAAATCAAAGTGAAAGCTAGAAAACCTGATAATTTTAACATTTGTCAAAATACATGCCAGAAAATTGAAACAAACAAACAAAAAAGAGCCTAGCAATATTATATACCAGAGGAAAGAAAATCTCAAGTTATCTTTGTTCCCACAACTGTACCAGGTTAAGTAGTACATACCTGTTTGTCTGTTTTTGACAGGTTGGTCTTTTGTGTTTCTGAAAATAAAAATACAATTCAGCATTACTCAAGAAATTTCTAAGATGATACACAAATGGAGAACTGACTTCACTAAAACACTTGTGGAATGACTTTTCAAGCATCGTAGGTAAAAATCACGTATTGTTTTTATTCTTTGTTAATCAAGGAATTAAAAAAGAAGTACTTCAATACTGATTAGATTCGTATACAGTTTTAGGAATCCTAAATGTATGCCAGTGCTGATGTGAGTATCTCTATTATAATGTGAAAAATCTCTAAACATCACAAAAGCACAAGGAGACTGCAGAGTAGTTTACATGAAAGCATTCTGAGCTGTAATTGACTGAAATTCTCCTTGTTTGGTAACTGCTACAAAAAATTATAAATACAGTCATTGCTGTATTTATAGAAAGGAGGGAGATAGTGAAGAATAAAGCAAGAGGAAAAGGTTTACCTTCTGTTTTGGGATTTCTGATTGCAGGTAGACAAAGAAGTACAGAACATTGATTCCAGCTTCCCAGCTTTATCATGTGGTTTTCCTTCCATGATCCAATTCTGCATTGTTCCAGATACTGTACTCTTTTCTTCCTTCAGTATGTTTTTCTGAAGTGTATTCTTTTCTTTTACTGAAGAAACATCATTAACTGCTGCTGTTTTCTTCTTTCTTTTTGCTTTGCCAATGAAGAAATCATCATTGCTATCACTATCAGAATTTGATGTCTGATTATAAAACCTCTCTTCAGTACTATCATCAAAGTATTCCTCTTCACTATGTTGTTCCAGGTCACTATCATCCCTAATTATTTGTTTCATTGCAGTTAATTTGTTCATGCTCACATTTTCTTTCCTTTTTTTACAGACAAGTTTCTTTCCTGTCTGAGTGATTGCTTGCATTTCTACTGTCTGAGACGAAAACTCTTTTGGAATTCTCTCCACTTCCATAATTTCCTGTTCAGGTTCACTCTCACTGAGTTTATCAGCTCCTCCTACAGTTCCCATTTTCACACTCATTTTTGTTTTATCTTCAAATCCTTGCCGATTTTGAACTAGTTTAAGAACATGTTCATTCAAATTTTGTGCTGATTTAGGCTGAGCTTCTGGCTTCTTTTCTGAAGGATTGGCTTTACCTGGGTTTTGTCTTGCATCCTTAAAAGCTTTTACAGCAGCTACAAGAGGGGTAGAAGAAAAGTAATTTGTTACTGCTACACTTGAATTAAGTACACAAGCTATTTTAATGAAATAAAACATTTTTCTAAGTTAAATTTATTGCACTGAGTGAACATATTTTGAATGCTTTTATCAAACTTTCACTGAATAGGTGGAGCAAATAATGCTTTGCAGTACAGCATCAACAAGTGAGGAAAACAATCTGAAATCATTACCACCTAGACATGCTGTTTTTGAAACTGGGTTGAACTAGGGAAGCTTAAAAAAGTGACTTGTAGACCTGGTACAACAAGGGGGAACATTTTTAAACTAGGAGAGGGGAGATTCAGGTTACATGTTAGGTATTAATTCTTTATTCAGAGGGTGGTGAGGCACTGGAACTATTCAGAGAAGCTATGGATGCCCCATCCTTGGAGGTGCCCAAGGCAGATTCAGTGGGGCCCTGGGCAACCTGATCTGGTGGGTGGCAATCTGCCCATGGCAGAGGCTGGGGACTGGGCTTTAAGGTCCTTTCCAACCCAAGCCATTCTGTGATTCTGTGATATGACTCCATGGTTCTTTTAGTTACCTTGAAGTTATAATGCTTCTTTTTCCTTAGTATCTGCTCGTTGCCAGTTCAGTCTTAGTTAGTATGCCATATGGTGTACTACCACACATAAACCCATGGTGGCAACTTGTGGTACTGTAGCTTGTCAAATTGGTTACAGGGCTGGTATACTTTTCCTTCAACAGTGGTTGTTCATAACAGGAGTTAACATGAGTAAAGTGGCACACGGACAATTTACTAAGTCAAAATAAGTTAATACATTGTTTCATACCTTTAAGTTCAGCAATTTTGGGTTTCAGAAGGGGGTGTGTTGCAAGTCTTGCAAGAGCTCGCTCATTTGCAGTGGACTTTGGCTATAAAAAATAAAATACATAAAATAAGCGGAATAATACTTACAGGATAGGTCATGCTACTATGCATATTAATGTGATTCTGGAATACTAAATGAACAAGAAGAAAAGGTTATAACAATATAATATTTGAGTATTTCTTAGCTTTCCTGTATTATCATAATTCTGAGGAAAAATCTGATTGCAAAAACCTGTCAGAAACACAACAGATGTAATTCTGCAATTTATCATGTACTGAAGAGGCATAATACAATTTTTACTTTAAAAGAACTAATCACATTCTATATTCTGTTTCTGCCATATATATTCTGGAATATTTTACATTCTGTTTCTTATAGGTGTAAAGTAAGTTGATGAATCCCTTGATTTTGATGAAAGCAGAAATTAGCACTGTATTGGTAGAAGCTGTTTGACATGACAGAATGGAGCAGCTTGTAAGAAGTACCATTAGTGTGGGAAAATCTCATAACAGGTATCGAAGTGTTATACATTAAATGTGATGTAGAGGCAAGGACAAACTCCCTCAAATATAATGTGGTAGAACAACAGAATTACACAGACTGGCTCAAAGACCAAATATGATCTCAATGCTTCAATCTGAAGAAAAAGGAGAGAAGCAGGAATTGCTTTCACTGTTGAATTCATCTAGAATTCACTGGTACTAGCTATTGTATTTTCAGGCTCTTGTCATGACTCTGCTTCAAGAACAAAACAAGAGAGATCTGAGACTTTTTAAAGGACAGCCTTGTCTTGGTTTTACCTGAGAGGGAAGAACTGTGGTGTGCAGACGAGCTCACTATAAAGATTTATTTACAGCTGCAGCAGAACTTGTGAGAAAAGAAAAAAAAAAAACACCTTCTTCCTAGTGGTACTGTATGGATGTATTTATAAACTGTTGTAACCCATGATTTGAGCTGTGCGTCACAGAATGTACTCATGGCAAAAGCCACCTCAACCAACGGATGATGAGGCTTACAAAGAACTGGGCAAGTGCCCAGTGGTCCTGCCTGAGCAGGCTGTGGCATTTCAGCACAATGCCCTTCCTGGTCTGAGCCACCACTAGAGATGGAGCCCAGACAACGGCTGAATGAATTCATGGGACAGTTGATGGAGGTGGTTCACAGCTCAAGGGAATAAATAATACCTCTGCATACAGTCAGAGGGCAGCAGGCTGGGGGTAGCTGATAAGGATGTACTGAATAATTAATGTAGCATATGAGTGTGATGTAAAAGTATGGAATAGGCAGTGGGAGATTGTAATGGGTCTGTCCTGGGATGAAGTTAGCTTTCTCTATTTCTGCCATTACGGTTCTGTACTTTGATTTGCAACTAAATCAAAGTTGATAACACACCAATGATTTTGTTACTCAAGGCCTTCTTCATTTCTCTCTCAAGAGAAAGGCAGAAGAGGTTGGAAGGGAAAGACAGTAGAGACACCTGACAACAAATCCACTGAAAGGATATTCCATGCTGTATTAAGTCATTTTCACCAACATACACTCAAGGAAAGGAGGCAGGAGGACATTCGTTGTTATTCCATCAGTTTCCCCCAAGCAACTTTAAGAGTGTAGAAGGCTTGTTTTCTGGGATGTGACTGAGGTTCTGCGTGCTGCTTGGGAGTAGTGAATAAATTCCATATTTTCCTTTGCTAATGCACAGTTTTACTTCATTTATAAGCTTCCTTTATCTCAACTCGTGAGTTTTACCCCTTTAGTTCTTCTGAGTCTCTCTCATCCTGCTAGGTAGGAGGAGTGGAAGAACAAGCAAGCTGGTGAGTGCCTGGCTGCTGGCTGGGGTCCAATCATCACACGTACAGACACTACCCAGTACACTGTTTGATATACGAATCTTCATCAGAGAATCTTACTAGCCTTGTATGCACCTTTTCTTCCAGCACTTATGCCACTTAATATGGATAGCCATGTATTCATTGAGTAGAGACAGAGGCATGACTTGCCAACCACTACAGCTGGAGAGTCATTTTCAGTGCTTTAGGTCTGAAGAAAACAGAGCAGATCCTGAAATTTGGAATCTTACATCTTCCTGCTAAGTTTCTTAATATAACCAAGGCATTACAGCTACAGCAGATCTACTACTTCCAAATATGGAAACATGCAATTGGTATGCAAAATGTAAAGCTTGTTCCTCAACCAATTCCAAGCAAATCTAACTTGCTGCAGTTCTGTAGCTTAAAAAACACATTCTTGTTTTGTCTGTTCAGATTTTAATTTGAAGTGCAGAGCATCGGCGAATCCCAATATATCTTCCTCACCAAGTCCCTGCTAATACAGTATTATTGGTTCAGATAAAGATAAAATGAAAAAATATCTTTCCTGTTGACTGTCCACAGTGTTACGACAACCGGCCAGAGAATTTGAGTAAAAAGATGAGTCCACTACCAAGGGTCAAAGACTGTGTTGCTCCCAGACTTACTCTCAGAGCTAGAAGAGCTCAGAGAACTCTGAGTCTGGGTTTTGATTCCCCTGTGACAGTGCAGCATGCTGCCACCAGATTCCTGGGACAGCAAGCTCACATTTCTGGAGATCAAAGACTATTTTCTTTGGAGATTTTTGTCTAGCTGGAAAATGTATTTCAGAACTTAATTAATACACTTTTCCCCTCAGCTAATTCCTGTGGGTTTTGAAAGAATATACCATGAAGTTCATAAAGCAGCAGCAGCTTCTGTGCAACATCTGGTGTCTTTTAATTCAAATATTTATAGAAAGGGTTTAAGCATATACATGCCAATGCATATGGAATAACCACATTTTTTCCTTATAGCAAAATACTTCACAAATGCTACTCACACTGTGAGACAGCAGCCAACAAACATATAATATGACATTCACATTCTTAAAAAATTCCCATTTTTCTATTTTTTGGCACATCCAATGCTCAATTTATTTTTCCTCAACTATTTTCCAGTATATAAAGCCTTCGCAGAGAAAAAAAACCATAAAGTACCTACTGTATCTATAGCAAGAACTATGTATATATAATGTACATAATATTCCCACTCCTCACCTCCCCACACTATGTTTGCTTTTGTAAACACTTGCTTTCACTGGTTCCTGCTATTCTTGTATTATCTTGTGCTACTTCATTTTTTTCAGATAAGAATTTCCAGAAGAATGCTCTGCCTCATTCAATTTCCAACTGAGGCACAGCAAAATAAACAAAGCAACCGAGCACTGAATAATCATATTATATATGTTATACATTATATATGTTAAAATGAAAAGCAGATTTACACTACAAGTTTTGAAATGTGCTGCACAGAGGTCAGGAAAAGTAAGGAATGACTCTGAGGGCTGGCAACACTGGGTCAAAAGAAGCAGCTGGATGAGAATGTCAGGCAGAATTTGTGTGGCTAGCACCTGCCTTGTACAATGCAGGAAATAAAGTGAGAAAGAGTCTCTTGGTAGAGATGGGATTTGCTGCTGTTAAAGGCAATGCCTTGCTAGCATGCTTTTTTCTTTTCTTCTTCTTTTCTTCTTTCTTCAAGAAGAATTAAGCAGCAGGAATGTAGGATCAACTCGGGGACACGATATGCTGACTTCTGATTATTGCTTCATTGTTATCACTCATCATGTTCAAAATTCCTTTTGGTTTTACCTTGTGCTACAATTGTAATAAAAAATAGAGAAGAGGCCATAGCTTTATCTTTTAATTGATTTCTGTATGAGAAACTACAGGTAGCTTAAAACAAGATTAATACTAGAAGACTACTAACTAGAATTTCTACTAGGTCAAAGGACAGTGCTGACAGACAGGTAGTGCCTGGTGGGCTTATATCAGTCCCTGTAAATGATTTGCTATGATACTTAGATGGAGACAGCCAGAAACCCTCTGGATGAGCGTACAGTATACAGTACATTGCTAAACCTATGACACAAAAAATAAACTTGAAGCATGTCTGACTGAGGTTTCTAAATTAACTGGAAGTGCAGTCTAAACCATAACAGCAGCCTGATCTCAGGAAAAAGAACGAAAGGAAAAGATAATGCTAACCAGGTTAAACATAAAAAAAATCCAAAGTTCTGGGCCAAAAGAAGATGTAACTGAAATACCCCTTATAGCAGCTTAAACAAGAACTTTCTCCCTCCCAAGAGCAACAGAAAACCTATTACTCCACATACTGCTCTCACAGCTCTAACAAGTCACAGCTGTCTTTCACAACAGCAGGAAGAGTGTGGTTAATGTAGAGTCACAGGGTGGCTGAAGGTGTTAGAACATGGCTGCCATCCAAGTCCATCCCATCACTGCTTTGGAATAAGATCACTAAGCAAAATTATCTTCTGACTGAAATGCTGTTAGTTCTCCCTCTTCCTTTATGTCTGTAAGAAATCTGATATGTGACTTGTGGCCATCAAAAAACCTGAAGATTTTGGCAAGAGAAGCAACGGGATACCACTTGTTGTGGCCATGTTAGCTCACAGCTCCTGACAGCATGAGTTTGTGGCTGTGTCCCCACTTCACTGATAGCAGCCTGTATCAGCTAGGGAAGGCAGGAAACACATCTTCATTAGGCAAGGCAAGAGTTCAAAAGAGAGTGACCCTCCTAAAGAAACAGCAGGGAATAATCACGTACTATGCACAGGACAGAAACGTCACCACTAAATACTGTGCTGGAAAAAGATAATCAGAAATTGTCAGATTTTATCCAATTTTTAACCAGCTTCTACTCAATCCAATCTTTCAAGTAACATCAAAATGATGGTACAGCTCTTCTGAAGTAGATACACAAGCTGAACAACAAGACAGGTGGGAAATTCTTATGGCAATTAATTCTATATGAATCTCACAAATTTCACACAAATTTCAAAGTTTTTTTTTTTTTTTTTTTAAGATTGGACTATTTATAGATTGCCTGATGAAAAATTTCCACCTGAAGATAAAGTGTAAACGCTAACAGATCTAAAGCCTTTGCAAAAACCAGAGTAAAGTAATGTCTTGTAGCGGAACAACAGGACAAAAATAGAACAACTTCTCTTAAAACATCC